GGAGGCAGTGGAAGATAGGAGGGCCTGGCGTGCTCTGGTCCATGGGGTCACGAAGAGTCGGACACGACTAAACGACTAAACGACGACGATACCTAAGGACGATCTCCTGATGCAGCCTTTGAGGCTCAAAAGGTTTGCATACGGTACTATGCTGCAGAACAGCACCACTTGCACAAGCACTTCTGCTGAGCAAGCAATAATCTCCATGAAGAAATCCAGGCTGCACCCCACCTCCCATACAATAGTGTTCCTGCATTAGAATACTGCCAGACTTTTCTACTCAACAGAGGCTCACAAGGACACCGGCCTTTGTTTTTAAAGCAGCTAAGTATATTTGGGTTTGAAAAACAAGTATTGCTCATATAGTAGGACTGCAGTATCTGTGGGGAATCGGTTCTAACCTCCCCTCCGGCTGATGCCAAAAATGCAGATGTATCAAATGCTATACATTACATGGTCTCTGGTAAATACACCCTAGGTATACATATAAATACATATTTTGGGACGAGGGTTATATTTTGTATTTTCAGGCAGTGGATAAGTGAATCAGCAGATACTGATCCCATGGATAGGGAGCTCCTACTGTATTTCAATTTTTTCCCTCCAAAATGGAAACCAAGCCTGATGAGGAATGGCTGAAAAAAATGGGCATGTTTAGCCTTGAGAAAAGAAGGCTGAGGAGTGATATGATAACACTTTTCAAATATTTGAAAGGCTGCCATATAAAGGAGGGGCAGGATCTGTTCGCAATCAGCCCAGAGTGCAGGACATGCAACAATGGGCTCAAGTTACAGGAAACCAGATTTCAGTTGAATGTCAGGAAAAACTTCCTAACTTTTAGATCAGTGACACTGGAACCAGTTACCTCGGGAGTTGGTGAGTGCTCCAACACTGGAGGCATTCAAAGAAAACTTGGATAATCACCTGGCAGATATGCTCTGATTGCATTCCTGCACTGAGCAGGGGGTTGGAATTGATGGCCTTGTAGGCCCCTCTCCAACTTCACTTTTCTGTGACCCTATGATTCTATGAAAGTGTTTCTCCTTTTTTTTCTGTGTCATCCTCTGTGTTATTCTTTATAGGTTAAACAGTCATTTTCTTTTCTTTATTTTTTTCAAATAAAAACATATATAAGAGAGATGATTTTTTTTAAAAAATTAACTATGACGAAGCAGCACCTGCTTTCCAAATGAAAGCCAGGACATCAGTAACATATTCCCCAGAACTAGAGAAAACTACATTGGTTCACATGACATTGACATCCATCTCTCCCCTTCCCTAGCAGGTACCAGCTCAAGACACAGCGTGAAACAAAGTGGCCAAGTGCTTCTGATATCTCACATAGGTATAATTAGCTCTGACATGCTTATGCAAGAAACATTAACACTACAAGGCATGCAGATGAAGCACCAGTAGCAGCTGAGGAGAAAAGATCAAGACCACATACAGGTCACATTAAGAGAAACAATGGAGTGCTATACTTACCCCTGCAGCAAAGCCCAGGCTCCCATCCAGGATCCTTCTCTGCAAATTAAAGAAATTAGATTATAAATTGCTAGAACAGGCAAGATACAACTACTTGCCATGCTAACTAGAGCACCAATTCAGTAGTCAGAAATCTAACCAGAATTCAACAAAGTAGTTAAACTCCTGATCATCAACATAATACAGTACATCGAACCACCCACTTGTTTGTATCATGTTCTAAAAAGAAGAGTGCATTCACCTACCCTATTTGTTGTTCTAATACACTTCAGCCTGTTTTGCTCTGACGTTCTATGCTCCACCAATTTTACTTGTCAATTTCCAAAAATATAAATTGATTGTGACATGCAAGTCCATGACTGACCAGGTCTTTTAACACTAATTCCAAGACCTTCAACTACTAATTCATATGCACATCCAAAAGATGAAAGAACGAGATCTCTTTACTCATCTCATCCTTCCATGGTTCAATGCGACAGAAATAAGGGTACAAGCTATACACAGCCCTGGTTCAGGTATCCGTGTTTTAAGCAAAACATTTTAAAAAGTCATAATGCTAAGGAAAGGCCTGTTTCAAAGATAAATGAAAACTGCAATGTTTAAGTAGGTGAACTGAATATTACTCTCAATCTATATGTCTTACAGTGGAATGGTGGCTACAAATACTACTTCTACAGAATTGGGAATATGGTTGTTGGGGGTTTTTCGGGCTCTTTGGCCGTGTTCTGAAGGTTGTTCTTCCTAACATTTCACCAGTCTCTGTGGCCGGAATCTTCAGAGGACAGGAGTCAGAACTCTTGTCTGTGCTCTGGTGTAGTTTGTGGGACAGTTGAGTATTAACGGATCCCAGCCGTGAAAGCCTTCAAGAATACAACTGGGGATAGACTCAAATTTTCTTGTGTGTCAATGTGCCCCAGCCTAACCCCATAACTTTCATCAATATTAACTGCTCCTGCAGAAGGTGAGAGGTGACTTTATTTGAACATCTCTGAACCTCAAGTGATACAAGGACCATATTTCATGGTGTCAGATCTGCACCAGTCTATCTGCACATGCAAACACCACATTGGATCTTGCAGGGTGGTTTATATGAAAGCAACAAGTGTGCATGATTACAATTGTTTGTACACCTCCAACCAAACACAGATTACAAGAAGCTACCAACGCCTTCAATATTTCATGGTCTCTCAATAAAAAGGATATTGTAAGTTAGAAAAGCTAAAGATAGCTATATAATGGTCCTTTGGGAGACAGATTAATTAACTACATGTCCAATAATTTGTTCTGCAATACAATCCTAAGCCTACTTACTAGACAGTTTGTCCTACTGAGCCCAGTGGGAATTACATCTGAGTAAATGGCTCTGAGATTACACTGAGGTATATGTGCTACACTGGGTTTTATTTTTAACTGCTGTTGCTTCATTTCTGTAATTACAATTTTATGAAATTGTTGTTCAATTAGTTATTGTTTTAAATGATATTTGTCTTCATGAACATATTGTAAGCTTCTTTGTGATGACTTGTAGGGCATAAATATGTGAGTGAGTAAGTAACTTATTCAATAAGTAACTTATTCTCATTGAACTTTATTCAATCAGAACCAGTTTAATTAGAAACACTAACACGTTCATTAATCCCAACTGCTTCAGTGGGTATCTCCTGAATTTAATTCTATTTTCTTCCAAGCAAGAAAAAGCTAATGTGATCTTTACATGCATCTATTATTCAAGGATTATTTCCACTAAATTCACACAGCAACCTGGACTAGGGAAGTGGTAAGAAAGGCATAAAGCAAAAGGGCGAACTTCTTTTAGAACTATATTGCAAATATATTGTACTAAGCAAAGTTATCATTAAAAATGTTTTTAAAGGGTCAAAAACAGATTGGGGCTGGCCTGCAACTTTTGCAATCTCATGTCTGCTTTTTCAAAAGGATAAAAGATTCTCAAGGATGTGCCCCCAAGGGAACAGATCTGTCATTGCTTAGAGGGAAACAGAAACACATGTTTTTCCTGAATGCCTAAGTAGAAGAAGCAAGCTCTTTAGACATTGAAAAGCATCTGCTCTAGTAGCAGTTGAACTTCTTTCATATAACATTATGAAGAAAAGAGATACAGTATTTTTTAGAAACAAAATAAAGTTCTTTGTTTGATGAAGGACCTCACCTGCTGAAGCTCACACCACAATAACATTTATCGGTCTTTCCTGGGTTAGCTACACCAGAGGTCCCCAACCCCCAGTCCGCAGCCTGTGCTGGTCCGTGGTCTGAGTTGGACCGGGCCACCAATACAGACCTCCTGCCCCACCCGCACTCACCCCCGCACAGCCTATTTGTGCCTGCACGTGCGCTCCAGCATGTCCGTGTGAGCACATGCATGCGAGTGAGTGCATGCGCATGTGCAAATGGCAGCATGATACTCATACAGGCATGCACGCACTCGTGCGAGAGAGGGCACATTCTTGTTTGTGCATGCACATTAGCGCAGGGGGTGCCCCGCCTTCCCCAGCTGGTCCGCAGACCGAAAACAGTTGGAGACTGCTGAGCTACACCATTCTTGCTGTATCATATTGTGTTAGCTAAATCAATGCTGCAGCATTTAATTTTTGAACTGTAAATCCCACTAACCTCAACATGGCAAATGCTGAGGGATCACAAAAGGGAAAAATTCCTTTTTTTAATTAACTCCCAGAATGTCTCCCTCAACATCACCAGCAGCCAAGCTGTACTTCAAACATACTGATTTCTAGGGCTTGAAAATTTTTAGAATGTCTCACCAGTCAGTCAAATATTTCACCAGTCAGCATGACCGGACTATAGCCTTGCAATGTATTGGGACTGGAAATCACTGATTTATACCCTCAGACTTGGGTTGCTTTATTACCTGCGTGCCTGTGGGGTCAGGAAGCTTGTATTTTGAATGCCTTTTTTTTTGGAATGTCTCCAGCAAAAATAAAACTGAAAGCAAAAGCTCCTGACCTCTTAAGGAGCCACAATTCCCTCCCAGGATATGTCCTCATTCAGTTGAAATTGGGAGCAGGGAATCTCCATATTCTCCAGCATGGGACTACTCTACATTCTTCTGCAGAGCTATATCTCTCGAGAGAAGAGGGCAGTTTTCCTTTTGCAATGGGAGGGAGGAGGGGAGGATGGCAGGATTAGAGAGAGAGAGGCGAAGGGGAAGGAGGCAGGCAGGGAGGGAGCTGTGACTCACCAAGCAGCATTTTTGATTCGTCACAGACAAGTGCATTTTTCAGGCTCTGTTGATTTCCCTATTTCTGTGAGGCCTGATGGATGTTACATTCAAAGAATATCTGAAAAGCCACATTGCCCCTGACTCGGATTTAGAAGGATCCAGTTTTAATGTGAAATCGTCTACCCTCACCCACTATCATGTTCTGCATGTCACAACCAGGACTTAGTCACAATTACACTGCAAAGGGCCCAGTTCTACATTCTCTGCTTCCACATGGCATCGTGAAAGATACAAGACTCACCTGCCCACTGGAAAAGATAAACACAAGGGCTGCACCAGCAGCTGTCAGTCCCCATGTCAAGAAGGTTCCTAACAGGGCTTGCGTCACTGGACTGTATCCTAATAACATACTGAGCAGTCGTGGATTTGACAATCTAGGGGGGAAGGTAGAGGCCATTAGATGCAAAACATTCAATATCTAAAGTCATTTTTAAAATGTTTTCTTCCATTACAGAAGCACCACTTTCCAAACACATTTCCAGAGGTTCCATACCTGCTGCTGTCATTGCCAAAGGAAAAGGTCAACCTATTTAGTCACTTAATTTTCTAAATGTGATTTGCATCTCATTACAGAGGTGATGCCAGCTGAAGAGGCAATGGGCTTGAATAAATAACAAAGTTGTTAGAACAAATCCCACTTCAACCACAGAATTATTCTGGAAAGATGCTAAGAGAAACCACCTTTATTGCACCATTTCTCCTCTGTAAAATAAGAATACAGTCATAGATAGACACTGGACAGCATGTCCTTACATTTAAACCAGTATAATGTGATTATATTCAGAACACGTAGCATATCTACACCGATACATCATCCATCCATTTACAGATAGCATGTCACAGAAGTGCACAATGGAATCACATTAATCTATCCTGCCTACTAATACTGAACAACTTACATGGAAGGTCATCTACACAGTTTACATATAAGCTCCAGACAGAGGGGCTGAAATCCTATTGGCATAATTATATCTCTGGAAGGCTAAAGACGTCATCAACAGGGAGTGATATTTGGACATTAAACACATGCTACTTCTGTCCCACAGCTCCCATGTTTCATTGGGTGAAAGCTATGGAAGCTGCAGAGCAAGAGGAACAATTCATTTTAGACCCATACAATTATATCCAGAACATGAAGCATATCTAGACCATTATCCACCCATTAACAGGCAACATGTCACAAAACATTATTATGGGATCACATTTATCTATCCTGCCTACTGATAAGTATTGAGCCTTACACAGAAAAAACTGAACTAGGAAGCTATAATTTGCAGGGTGTATTGGCCAATTTGCCTGTATTCAATGGTGCAAAAATCAACTACCTATGATTTTAACTTATCTTTCATGTTCAGGTCCAAAGTGAACATGGCAGCACCTCCAGAAAAGTTCAATGTGAAAGAGCATAGGACCATAATCAAGTTCCTGTTTCTCCAAGAGAAAGGTACAAAGCAGATCCATGATGAAATGCCACAAACTATGGGTGACAGTGGCCCTTCATATGCAATAGTTAAACACTGGGTTGTCAATCTTAAAATTGGCCATTTTGGTGTTGAAAGCAAGAAACCCAGTGGAAGGCCTGTTTACTTACTTACTTTACTTACTTTACTTACTCACTTTACTTACTTACTTACTTAAGCAAGGGGAGGGCGCGAAAACGCTGAAACTATGGGTGACAGTGGCCCTTCATATGCAATAGTTAAACACTGGGTTGTCAATCTTAAAATTGGCCATTTTGGTGTTGAAAGCAAGAAACCCAGTGGAAGGCCTGTTTACTTACTTACTTTACTTACTTTACTTACTCACTTTACTTACTTACTTACTTAAGCAAGGGGAGGGCGCGAAAACGCTGAGAGGGGCCATTTCGGGTCATGCGGCGGCCATTTTGGAGCCGCCGATCAGCTATATGGATTCTTCGTTAAACGGTGCGCTCGTTAAGCGAGGCACCACTGTATATGGAGCAGGAGGGGACTCTGGGCTGATTTGCATTGATGTTTAGGTTATATAGTCAACAGAAAACGTGAATCAGAATGCCCCAGTTCCAGAGCATTTTCCACATTATTTATCAATGTACTCATGCCCTGAGGCTATCATATTGCAAGATTCAAAGACAGTGGCTGAAATCTTTTTGCCTTACAGTGGGGTCTTGACTTGAGAACTTAATTCATATTGGAAGGCGGTTCTCAAGTCAAAAAGTCTGTAAGTCAAGTCTGCATTGACTTACAGTGCATTGAAAACCGATTAATCCCGTAACAGGCCGTTTTTGTTCCATTTTG